CCTTGAGAGCACGGCGTGCGTTGCCCATATCAGCTTCTGCAACCCAACTGTCCTCAGTGGGGTCATATTTCTTCCAGCGTATCAGGAACTCGAGGGTCTTGACGCCGCGGCGCCGATGAGTGAGAACGTGCTCGATCTCGTACTCAGGTTCATCCTGGATGAGAACAGGTGGTGGTGGCGGTAGCTGCCGTCCTTGGAACTGTTGGTTGGGGTCTTTGTAGGGTTTCAGTAGCTGAACATGGAAAGCGTTGTGAAGCTTCCATGTATCTGGTAAGCGCAAGCGGAATGTAACTGGTGTCACCAGAGCCTCAACGAGAAAAGGACCACAGAAGCGAGGCCGGAGTTTGGATGGGAGGTGAGACAGGTTCAAGTTGCGCGTGTCAAGAAGCACCTGATCTCCGACTGCTACTGAGTGATCTCGTCGCTGTCGATCGGCATACTGCTTCTGGGAGGTCTGCATCGTGATGAGTCGTCGCTGAGTCTTCTCCCATAGCTGCTGCATGGTGGTGACGAAGTCATGTGCGGCTTGGACGTGTGCCGGTGTGGTTGGCTGCTGTGGTGTGAGTGGTTCTCGTCCGTAACACAGGAAGAAAGGAGTTTTCCCTGTGGCCGCATGTGATGCGTTGTTGTAAGCGAACTCTAGGGTCGGTAACTGTGTGTCCCAGTGGCTGACGTCGTCCTTGCAAGCTGTGCGCAGTAACTGTTCAACCACCTGATTGAGTTGCTCTGTCTATCCGTCAGTCTGGGGGTGGTATGCTTAAGACATTGCAAGTTTTGTCCCCAACAGTCCCATGAGCTCCTTCCAGAACTTACTGGTGAATTTGGGGTCTCTGTCTGAGATGAGTGTAGCGGGGATGCCGTGGATGGTGATGATGCGGTCGAAGAAGAGGCGAGCAGTTGCTTCAGCTGTAGCTGTGGCGTTGGTCGGTATGAAGTGACCCATTTTAGAGAACTTGTCGATCACCACGAGTATGGCATCATGCCCTCGTGAGGTCGAAGGAAGTCCCGTGATGAAGTCGAGGCTAACGACTTGCCATGGCTGCTCCGGTACGGGTAGAGGCTGAAGTAACCCTGCTTTTTTCTGCTTGCTGCTCTTCATCCGCTGGCACGTGTCGCATGAGGTGACAAACTGCTGCACGTCTGCTGCCATCCCGGGCCAGTAATAATGCTTAGCTATTCCTGCTAACGTCTTGTTGCTCCCGAAATGTCCCGCGTAAGGTACGTCGTGAAACTCCTCCAATAGGATCTGCCGTAGCGGGGCGTAATTCGGTACCCAAATCTTTCCTGTGCCCTTCCTTACAGCTAAGTCTTTCTCCCACTATAACAGCTTCTTGGTCTGTGCTGTAGCAATCTCTGCGTCCACGAAGTACCCATGTTGGAATAGACCCTTGAGCAGAGGGTTCATCTCGTTGAGCTGGATGCCTGCCACATGTCCGGGGAGGCTCAATGCGTCTGCTTTGTTGTGTAGCCCGGGCTTGTAGACGATGTCGTAGTGGAAGTGAGTTTCCAAGAAGTCCACCCACCGCACCTGTCGTCGAGAGAGCGTCGGCTGCGACTTCAGGTATTTGAGGCTACAGTGGTCAGTATAAACTGTAGTCTTGGCTCCCTCTAGGTAACACCTCCACGCCTTGAAGGCTATGACTATCGCTAAGACTTCCTTGTCATGGATGGGGTAGTTCAGTTCTGCTCCGTGTAGCTTCTTACTGAGGTAGGCGATGGGCTGCAAACCGCGTCCGTGATCCTGCATCAGTACTGCTCCGACTGCTTGGTCACTAGCGTCTGCTTCCACCACGTAGTCCTTGTCTGGGTCCGGTAGGATGAGTACTGGCACTGTAGTCAGTGCTGTCTGTAGCTGCTCCATGGCTTGCTGATGAGGAGTATCCCATTTGTAGGGCGTATCCTTTTTCAGTAGGTCGGTCAGTGGCGCTGCTATCTTAGCATACTGCGGCACGAACCTGTTGTAGTAGTTGGCGAAGCCTAGGAACTGCTGCAACTCCTTCACGTTCTCCGGTACTTTCCACTTCTTGACGGCTTCGATCTTCCGCGGGTCCACGTGTACGCCCTCGGCACTCACCATGTGCCCGAGAAACTGCACCTTCTTCAGGGCGAAGTCGCTCTTCGACAGCTTCACGTAGAACTTGTTCTTCCGCACGATCTCGAACACCTTCCGTAGATGCTCCACGTGCTCCTTCATGTTCTTGGAGTAGATGAGAATGTCGTCCAGGTACACCACCACGCATTCGTCCAACAGGGGTCGTAAGATGTGATTCATCTCCGCCTGGAACGTTGCTGGTGCGTTGCAGAGTCCGAACGGCATCACCAAGTATTCGTAGGAGCCGTATCTGGTACGGAACGCCCTCTTGTGGACCGAGTTGTCCGCCATCTTGATCTGCCAGTAACCCGACCGTAGGTCCAGCTTCGAGAAGACTGTTGCACCACGCAGTTGGTCCAGTAGGTTGTCTATGCGCGGTATGGGGTATTTGTTTTTAACTGTCTGTTTGTTCAGTGCGCGGTAGTCGATGCACATCCGTAAACTGCCGTCTGGTTTTGGAGTGAAGAGGACTGGTGCACCGTAGGGAGAGGTGGATGGGCGGATCAGTTGTCTGTCCAGTAGATACTCTATCTGTTTCTTCATGTCTGTCAGTCCGGTCGGACTCAGTCGGTATGGTGCACGTGAGACGGGTTTCGCACCTGGTTCCTCCACGATCTCATGCTCGTGGGTGCGTGCTGGAGGTACGCCTGCGGGTAGGTCGTCGGGCATTATATCTTTGTACTGCTCCAAGACCTCTTTCACTGCTGCAGGTAGCTCTGTGTTTGGCTTCTCCTCCTCTGCTACTGCCATAACCAGTGCTAGGTATCCCGTGTTGCTCTCGTTCACCATCCGTTCGAACCGTGCCAGTGTCGTTCCAGGAACGCTCCCTGTATCCGTCCAGCTTCGCAGCTCCACTCGTTTCCCGTTGTTGTAGATGCGCGCCTTCCTGTTGACCCAGTCGATCTCGGGGTTGAACCGCTTCAAGAAATCTCGCCCCAAGATGAAATCTGATCCCTTGATGTTTGTGATCGGCAATGTCGGCTTCCACCTCAGCGCCCCTATGTGCAGCTGCAGTGATGCTTCGCCGTGGATGGGAAGTTTCGTACCGTCCACCATTGTTGCTGTGAACTTGGTCTCCTCGGAAGGTTCCCCAATTTTCTCCAACGCCTCGCGGTCGCACACCGAGTGAGACGCACCGCTGTCCACCAGTGCCTGGAGGCGTCGCCCGTTGCAGATCACCTCGAGTAGTAGTGGTTGTTGCTGCTCCGAGTAACCGTAGATGGTCTCGCTTATAGGATTGTAGGGTACGTCGAATAGATCATCCCTCGGTCCTGTGCTCGAAGCTGCTGACTCCATATCAGTTTCCAACTGAGTAGGGTTGGAAGGATTTATCCGAGGCCGATTCAGCTTCGTCTTGGCCTGGAACCTTCCCTTAAGCCTTTGCAGCTGTGTAGGCTTCTCCTGTGGGCAATGAGGAGCCTTAACACTATGCTGCGGGGAGAGAATATGAACTCCTTGGAACGCACGACCCTTTTCAACGCTCCGGAGTGGTTTGCCCAACTTCTCAGGTACCTGAATAATGTCTGAAGGCTTTTTCTTGGCCTTGAAATCTCCCCTGAATTTTTTAAAGGCTTGAAAACCTCGAGAGAAAATATTCTTACTCTCGGGGGTGTTCGGCTGGAGTTTCCCGGTCGGTGCAGAATCTTGTTTCGCGGAGCCTCCATTTGTCTCGGCGATTTCCCCTGTTGCCGGCCGGTCGTGGCGTTTTGAATTCGCGCCATCGTGTCCTCCTTTTTTCGCCCGCTCTGAAGTCATCATGTCTTTTGACTTCGAGGGTGCTGCACTGTTGTTGCCCTTTAGCTCCGCTCGTGCCTTCTTCATTTTCCAACACGCCAAGAGTCGATGTCCTGCTGAGCCGCAAAATTCGCAGTTCTCATATTTTTTCGACCGCTGCTTCGCGTCGATCTTGTCGATATCCATCGGGTCGGCGGTCGTGGGTGGTGCCGATCGCTTCATGTCGAATGATCTGTTCGGCACGTGGCGTCGTGTCTCGGGTTGATCTCGCGTCAGCGCATCGAATCTCTCTTCTGCACACACCATGTCGCGGTAGATGTTGTAGTTCGCGGCAATCACATGTCGGCGGACTTCCATCTTTAGCCCCTTAGTATACGCTTTCAAAAGTAGTAGGAGTACGGCCTAGGCTTAGTAGCCTAGGCCACAGTAGGACTAGTAACGAGGAGCCAAGTACGAGCTAGGATTGTGTGCAGGAACAGAATTGAGAAGGAATGATTGAACTAGCAAGCAGCAGGATACAAATAGCAAACCCTACGGGGCTGTACTCACTATAGAGTACCCCACTGCAGGCTACACAAACAACATATTCTGACACACCCCCATAGCCAAAGTGGGGTGTAATCCGCACAATGAGCAGTCATAGCAATAGTTCATAATTATCAGCAAAGCTAGAGGCTATCACAGAGGGCAGGTGAGGAGGAGGAGGGACTATGAAAGGAGAGAAGATGGGAGGCGACGACTGAAGCTGCAGACAAACGGGCAACAGAAGCGGCTGACACAGTGGCGGCTGACACAGTGGCTACCGAGACAGAGCGCCCCGGAATACTGGAGTAACTGGCTCTGCGGCTACGACGAGCGGCAGAAGCAACGGACCCACGGGCGACTGGTGCAGCAGGCTCTCAGTGGCTACCGAGACAGTGCGTCCCGGAATACAGGAGTAACAGGCTCTGCGGCTGCGACGAGCGGCAGGAGCAACGGACCCACGGGCAACAGGTGCAGCAGGCTCTCTGAGCTACCAGGACAGTGCGCCCCGGACTACAGGTGCTGCGGACGACAAGACAGCAGCCTCCACTCAACCTCCCCCAACAGTCCCACACCCCTCTCACACACCCCCTGCTTCCCTCCCATCACCCCCCTAGTGCCACTCCCCACGACTCCCACACCTCCACCCCCCTCAGCGGCAGCTGCAGCAGTGGGAGACGAAAAAGGAGGAGGGGAGAACCCACACCTCTCACCCCCATGCTCGCCACCCCACACCCCAGCCACCGCGGAACGCACGGTGGAATGGGAGCAATGGGCAGCACCGGGGGGGGGGGGGGGGGGACGGGGCGGGCTTCTGCAGAGGCGGCTCGCGCGGGTCCTGGGGCGGCTGCTGCAGGTGCGGGCTGCTCCAGGGGCGGCTGCTGCAGGTGCGGGCTGCTCCAGGGGCGGCTGCTGCAGTGGCGGGCGGCTCCAGGGGCTGCTGCTGCAGTGGCGGGCGGCTCCAGGGGCGGCCGCCGCAGTTGAAAGGCAGAAGGGGGGGGGGGGGGAAACGCACGGCCCCCAGGGCGCCCCGAGGGGCGACGAGAAGGGAGCCGCGCGGCCCCCCCCCCGGGGCGCCGCGACGGGCACCAGGGAGGGCGCCGCGACGAGCCCCCAGAGCCGCCTCGACGGGCGACGGGGAGGGTGCCGCGCGTGCCCCCCGAAGTCGCCTCGACGGGCGACGGGGAGGGCGCCGCGCGGGCCCCCCGAAGTCGCCTCGACGGGCGACGGGGAGGGCCGCGCACGGCCCCCGAAGTCGCCTCGACGGGCGACGGGAGGGGACCGCGCGCGGCCCCCGTGGTCGCCACGACGGGCGACTGGTGGGGAGGCCGCGCGGGCCCCCAAGGTCGCCTCGACGGGCGACGGGAGGGGAGGCCGCGCGGGTCCCCGAGGTCGCCTCGACGGGCGACGGGAGGGGAGGCCGCGCGGGTCCCCGAGAGCGCCTCGACGGGCGCTTCGACGGGAGGGGACCGCGGAGGCCCCCCCAAGGGCACCACGACGGTGCTCAGCGACTACTGACATATTACATATGGAGTCAACCATATGGTTTGTACCAACATTGAGTGTATTACTTAACCATATGGTTGGCACCAAGAGTAAAAGTGTAACCTAACCGTGTGGTTGGTACCAGGAGTAAGTATGTTACTTACCCATATGGTTGGTACCAAGAGTATGTGCGTTACTTAACCAGGTGATTGGTACCAAGATTATGTGCGATACTTAACCATATGGTTGGTACCAAGATTTGATGTGTTATTTAACCATATGGTTGGCTCCAAAAGTAAGTGCGTTTCCTAACCATATGGTTGGTACCAAGATCAAATACGTTACTTACCCATGTGGTTGGTACCAAGAGTAAGTGCGTTACTTAACTATGTAGTTGGTTCTCAGATTAAGTGCGATTCTAACCACATGGTTGGTACCAAGATTATGTGCGTTACCTACCATATGGTTGATACCAATAGTAAGTGCGTACTTAACCATGTAGTTAGTACGTTGATGAAATGTGATACTTCACCATATGGTTGGTACCAAGATTATATGTGTTACTTAACCATATGGTTGGTACCAATATTAAATGTGTTACTTAACCATATGGTTGGTACCAAGATTAAATGTGTTACTTAACCATGTGGTTGGTACTTACCCATATGGTTGGTACGAAGAGTAAGTGCATTACATACGAATATGGTTGGTACCAATAGTCAGTGCGTTACTTACCCACTTGGTTGGCACCAACAGTAAGTGCGTTACTTAACTTTGTGGTTGGTACCAAGTTTAAGTGCGTTACTTACCCATATGGTTGGTACCAAGAGTGGGTGCGTCACTTTATCATATGGTTGGTACCAAGAGTTAGTGCGATACTTACCCATATGTTTGGTATAAAGAGTAAGTGCGTTACTTATCCACATGGTTGGTACCATGATTATGTGCGATACTTAACCAAATGGTTGGTAGCAAGATTAAATGCGTTACTTGACCATGTGGTTGGTACCAGGAGTAAGTGCGTTACGTACCAATATGGTTGGTATGAAGAGTAGGTGCGTTACTTACCCATCTGGTTGGTACCAAGAGTAAGTGCATTGTTTATCTATATGGTTGGTACCAATAGAAAAGGCGTTACTTACTTATATGGTTGGTGTGCGCTACTCACCCATATGGTTGGTAATAAGAGTAAGTGCGATCCTTACTCATATGATTTGTAAAAAGAGTAAGTGCGTTGCTTATCCGTATGGTTGGTACCAAGAGTAAATACGTTACTTAACATATGGTTGGTACCAAGATTAAGCGCGTTACTTACCCACAAGGTTCGTGCCAAGAATATCTGCGTTACCTACCTATATGATTGGTACCAAGAGTAAGTGCGTTACTTAACTATGTGGTTGGTACGTTGATTAAGTGCGTTACTTACCTATATGGCTGGTACCAAAAGTAATTGTATTACTTAACCAGATGGTTGGTACCAAGAGTAAGTGCGTTACATAGCCATATGGTTGGTAACAAAAATAAGTGCGTTACTTACCCATACGGTTGGTACCAGGAGTAAGTGTTATACTTAACCTTGTGGTTGCTACCAAAATAAAGTGCGTTACCTAACTATGTTGTTGGTACCAAGATTAAATGCGATACTTAACCATATAGTTGGTACCAAGCTTAAGAGTGTTATTAAACCATATGGTTGGTACCAAGACTAAGTGTGTTACTTAACCATATGGTTGGTACCAAGACGAAGTGCGATACTTACCCATATGGTTGATACCAATAGTAAGTGCGTTACTTATCTATATGGTTGGTACCAAGAGTAAGTGCGTTACTTAACCATATGGTTGGTTCCAAGATTGAGTGCGTTATGGTACCATATGGTTGGCACCAAAAGAGAGTGCGTTACTTACCCATATGGTTGGTGTGCTCTACATACCCATATGGTTGGTAATAAGATAAAGGCGTTACTTACCCACATGGTTGGTACCAAGGGTAAGTGCATTACTGGCCCAAATGGTTGGTACCAAGAGTAAATGCGTTACTTAACCATGTGGTTGGTACCAAGAGTAAGTGCGTTACTTACACATAGGGTTGGTACCAAGAGTAAGTACGTTACTTACACATAGGGTTGGTACCAAGAGTAAGTACGTTACTTAACTATGTGGTTGGTACCAAGATTAAGTGCGTTACATACCCACATGGTTGGTGCTAAAAATATCTGCGTTACTTATTAATATGGTTGGTACGAAGAGTAAGTGCGTTACTTAACCATGTGGTTGGTACCTAGATTAAGTCCGTTACTTACCCATATGGTTGGTACCAAGAGTAAGTGCGTTACATAGCCATATGGTTGGTACCAAGAGTAAGTGCGTTACATATCCATATGGTTGGTACAAAAATAAGTGCGTTACTTACCCATACGGTTGGTACCAGGAGTAAGAGCTATACTTAACCTTGTGGTTGCTAGTAAGTGCGTTAGTTAACCATATGCATGGTACCAAGCGTATGCGTGTTACTTATCCATGTGCTTGGTACCAAGAGTAAGGGCGTTACTTACCTATGTGCTTGGTTCTATGAGTAATTGCGTTACCTAACCATGTGGTTGGTACCAAGATTAAGTACGTTACTTTCCCTTGTGGTTGGTACAAAGAGTAAGTACGTTTCTTATGTGGTTGGTACCAAGAGTATGTGCGTTAGTTAACCATGTGGTTGGTACCAAGATTCAGTGGGATACTTAACCATATGGTTGGTACTAACATTTAGTGCGTTACTTACCCATATGGTTGACACCAAGAGTAAGTGCATTACTGAACCATGTGGTTGGTACTAAGGTTATGAGCGTTACCTACCCATATGGTTGATACCAATAGTAAGTGCGTTACTTGACCATGTGGTTGGTACCAAGTTAAGTGCGTTACTTACACATATGGTTGGTACCAAGAGTGCGTGGTTTATCATATGGATGGTACCAAGAGTAGGTGCGATACTTACCCATATGGTTGGTACCAGTTTAAGTGTGATACTTACCCATATGGTTGGTACAAAGAGCAAGTGCGTTACTTACCTATATGGTTGGTACCAGAAGTAAGTGCGTTTTTTTCCCATGTGGTTGGTACCAAGTTTAAGTGTGTTACTTACCTATATGGTTGGGACCAAGAGTCAGTGCGTTACTTTAATATATGGTTGGTACCAAGAATAAGTGCGATACTTACTCATATGGTTGGTTACAAAGAGTAAGTGCGTTACTTACCCATATGGTTTGTACCAAGAATATGAGCATTACTTATCCATATGGGTGGTACCACGAATATGCGCGTTAATTACCCATATGTTTAGTACCAAAAGTAAGCGCGTTACTTAACTATATAGATGGTACAAAGCGTATGCGCGTTACATATCCGTGTTGTCGGTAACAAAAGTACTTACCCAAATGGTTGGTACCAAGTGGAAGTGTCAACGGGAGTCGTTGTGAGGCCCCGTCTGCAGGGATAACTATATTAACGGGAGCTAGACTACGGGCTAGGTATGGGGCTAGAGTGATGTCTGAGTTCGTTCCTTATTAGTTTCTTGGTGTTCTCACTGCTTACTAGTCCATGGGGAAAGTTGGCAAGAGTTTCACTATGAAAAGAGATCACAACAATGATACAATCGAGTTGGCAAGACAAGACTACATCAGAGCTAGCATGCAAGCAGGTCGACTGCCAGCGCAGTATGGTCGACCTTGCTCCAGCAGTGCAAAGTCGCGGCTTGCCAACACTGCAAGTCGACGGCGTGCCAACGTCGCAGGTCGACGGCGTGCCAACGTTGCATGCGCGGAACAGCAGCGCACCGGCTTCGTACGTGCTCGCAGATGATTGGCGCGCCGTGCCTTGTCACTTGCACAGCGCACACACCAAATCAACCTGGCGCTGACGAGTGCATCTGATCAGCCACGTCGACCTCGTGATACCACACCAAGGTCGGCCTCTCCACTAACACCTGGGCGACTGTCGCGTGCCTCCGCAGAACTTCGTCGCCCGGGTAACTTGGCCGACCTGGAAACCACCAGGTCGGCGTCGACTTCTTCGGGAAAAGTCGACCAGAAGTTGTATGTGCTCGTCGACTACCCAAGTCGACGACCACAAGCCAACTTCACCAAGTCGGCCACTCTCCAGGTCGGCGCCCCCAAGTCGGCGCCTCCCCTCTTCGTGCCCGTCGACCGTCCTGGTCGACGACCACCACATGTCGACCTCGTCAGGTCGACCACACCCTTGGTCGACCAGCTCCAGGACGACGACTCTCTTGGTCGACCAGCTCCATGTCGACCAGCACATCTGTCATCCGACCACCCATAGTCGGTTTCTCCAGGTCGGCGTCACCAAGTCGACGCCTTGTCAGGTCGACCTCCCAAGTCGACCTCCCGAAGTCGGCGCCCTCTTGAAGTCGGCGCCCCATCCAGGTTGACGAGGAGCGTCCTCCTCGTCGACCATCAGGTTGAAGTCGGCCGCCAGCTCCCAAAGTCGGCGGCTCTGCATTGGCCCCGTGCAGGTCGGCCAAACCTGTCGACCAGCTCGCCCAAGACGGCGTTGCCCACTGCTGCAGGTCGGCTGCACTTCCCGCACACCCGACCACGAGGTAGGCTCTGCCCAAGCGAGAACGGGGCGAACCATAACTCCCGTTGACACCGACCTCGTTTGGGCGGGGTCAACTTAGTGGTCGGGTGTGAGGGGAGCAGCCGACCTGCAGCAGTGGGCGAGCTGGTCGACAGGGCTGGTCGACCTGCACAGGGGTCACTGCTCGGGCGTCGATTTGGCAACACTGACTTGGAGCAGCCGACTTGGGTGGCCGGCTGACCAGATTGCTGGTCGACCAGGAGTGTTGTCGACCTGGTGGTCGACCAGGACTGGTGGTTGATGAAGGGGGGAGCCGACGTCGACCTCGACAGGGGAGGCTGGGGACGCCGAGCTGAAGGGCGTCGAGTAGGACGTCGAGCAGCTGGGCGTCGAGCAGTAGGGCGCCGAAGTGGAGGGCGCCTACCTTGGGTGGCCGACGACTTGGCGAAGTCGGCAGCCTGGCCCCGA